GGACAAAGCCTCAACGGACGATGTGCTCAGCGAATGTCTCAGACAATGGGGAACAGAGGATGAGGTGCTGGAGGAACCATCATGAGAGGACAAGCCCCTACATGGGATGTACCACCGACAAATAACTGAAGTGGCTGATATCAGGAAATCCTACCAATGGCTGGAGAAAGCTGGACTGAAGGACAGCACAGAGGCCCTCATCCTGGCCGCCCAGGAACAGGCCCTAAACACCAGAGCAATAGAGGCTCAGATCTACCACACCAGACAAGACCCAAGGTGTAGGTTGTGCAAGGAGGCATAACAGCAGGGTGCAAGATGCTGGCAGGGAAAGCGTACATGGAACGACATAACCAAGAGGCAGACATAATGTACAGAAACATCTGTGCAGAATATGGACTGGAAGCCCCGAGGTCAAAGTGGGAAACACCCCCAAAGGTGGTGGAGAATGACTGAGCTAAGATCCTGTGGGACTTCCAGATCCAGACAGACAAAATGGTAATGGAGAACCAACCGGACATTGTGGTGGTGGATAAAGAACAGAGGAAAGCCGTTGTGGTGGATGCAGCAATACCAAGTGACCACAACATCAGGAAAAAGGAGCATGAGAAACTGGAGAAATACCAGGGCCTCAGAGAGGAACNGGAGAAGGCCTGGAAGGTGAAGACNACAGTGGTGCCTGTGGTCATCGGGGCCCTCGGGGCAGTCACCCCCAAACTGGAGCAGTGGCTACAACAGATTCCAGGAACAACATCAGACATCTCAGTCCAGAAATGTGCAGTTCTAGGCACAGCCAAGATACTGGAGGAACCCTCAAGCTCCCAGGCCTCTGGTAGAGGACCCGAGCTCAGAGGATGAAAGAGACCACCCACGGAGGGTGAGAAGGGAATTTTTTATTTTATTTTTATATATATGTGTGTGTGTGTGTGTATATAAAATGTGACAATATAGTTGTGAAGGATAAATTACCCCTTTCCACATTGTATCTCTGCTTTTATTGCGGTCTCCATTTCCAGGAAGGTCCACAAGTGTGACGTGTTGGAGAAAAGGATTATCTGGTACCCTGACAGTCACACACTTCACAAGTGGCCAGTACCACTTCTTTATTTTGTCATAGTCTTCGTTTTTTGCAGCATCCCTTGTATATTTGACAATATCTGTAGATAGATCCTTAGCCTGCAAAACATAATAGTAGTCATAATATTAGTAATAAATTATGACAGCTGAAAGTAATGAAATTCTACTGTAAGCCTCTCATTTTCAATTGAGAGGGTTACAGTAAGCTCTATGTGCCCCACCTTCATGTAAACATGTGCATGTATTATTGTATGTATGTATCAGAATTGTACAATTAAAAAAATTATATAATTATGATATGTACACATATATTGCTGAATTGATGCAGGAAATTACTGTTAAAACCTTTGCATCTTACTGATTCAAAGATCAAGGTTTTGCTTGTTGAACAAAGAAATTCTGGAATTTCTTTGAAGTACTTCGTCTCCATGAGTTGTTCGCAGGATTTTTCCTTCCATTCATCTTCATACAGAGCCGACAGCTTATCAGCGGCATCATGGTGTTCTTCATCAGAATCATCAACATTGTCTTCCGTTTCTTGATTTCCTTTCTTAATGATAGAAAACAGTGACCCCAATTCATCTTCCCAGTCCTAAAAAAATAAAAGACGAATTGCTTTTCAAGTGACGTGTAAAATTACAGAAGTAACATTTTCATCAGACTTTTGTAAGTATATTTTTAGCTTACTTCAGGTGAAATGAATTCAATCTCCGCCTCGTATTTTTCATTTTGCCTGTTACCCTCCACTTTAATCATGACTGAGGTGCAGGCACTGACACTTCCAGAGGGCAAAAGATTCTTCTCTTCAAGGACAGCATTTATCAAAGACGTCTTTCCAGCTCCAGTTTTACCAAACACACCAACCAGCTCCTTCTTTTCTGTCTCCAGATTCTTGATTTTAGTTCTGTAGAAAATGTAGCCATTATTGAGCAACTCAGCTTTAAAGTGTGTGTCTACACATAAGAAAATATGGGAAGGTTTAACAAAAGCTCAAATGTAAAAAAAAAGACAAGAAAAACAAGAAGATGCAAACCTTTTAGTAGTCTGTGAAATTGCATCTGTGAAATTGCATCTGTAGATATCCAGGAATGTTTTTTCTAGTTTAAAAAATTTTTCTTGGTTTATTTTCAACTTAAAATCTACTTACTTCAAGATCTTATTGAGATCACTGTCATCTTGCAACATGGCATAGATGTCCCCCATCGTGTTTCTCACTGTATTTAACATCTTTGCTTCTGTTTCTACAAACAGAAGCAAAGATGCAGAGCTGTAATTTAAGTATACCAATATTATTATTTTTATGTTGGTACAATGTGTATAAAAAGAAATACCTGTTGACGAATTTGTCTCACACTTCCTTTTTGCTGCTGGTTGTCCTTTGCTGCCCAACTGTTGGCCAGATTTTCGTTTTCCTTGTTTTAAAAAACAAAAAGTTACTCGTATTGGTTTATCTTCAGCAGTTGTTTTAATGTCAATGTGCATGAAAAGACTTTGATCTTGTATTTCTCACCTGTATCGCTTGTAGAAGGTAAAACCTGAAGATGAACAGAAAAGTTTGACTAAACTTAAAAATGCTTTTCCATTATAAAATTGTTTAAAGTTCATAATGTTTATTTTATTACACTGGCATTTTCATTATACTAATTATACATTTTCCAAGTAGACTAAAAAAAACATAATAATAACATACGTATGATGTCTTATGATTTATGAGATAAAAGATGAATGGTGGCCATGTCAAAGAACTATATATATATATATAATTATTCCTTCTCACCTCAGTCATACCAGTTTCTTCTTCACCTTTCTGGTGACCCTGCAAATAAAATAACCTTGGTAAAAAGCTTTTATAATTGAACACTAAAGCTAAGTAGCCATATCACAGATGTTAGGATAAAATACTTCACTTTAAACTAAAATAAGAATATGTTTGACTTACATGTGTTGGAAAATGATTTGGGCTCTCATTTGGGGTTTGTTCTGCCTAGTGATAAAATATTTTTCCAAATCTGTTCAGTCTTTATTATCAATGGAATATTTTTCAATAATAATAATAATAATAATAATAATAATAATAATAATAATAATAATAATAATAATAATAATATGTAAAAGCATATATCCACACTAGTGAAAGTTTTTTTTTTAAAAGCACAGGACATACCTTTAACCGTCTGATTAACTTTTTGAATTTTAACCTTGATCCCATTTTTGGAATCAACTTTTCGATGTCTGCATCCTGAAGCATATAAAAAGTTTCTGTATCAATCCCTTCATCTGTAATCAAAGAACATCTCATTAGAAATCAGTCATGCCAATATTTGAAGAACAGTTTGTCCTTTTGTCCTCTGGGAGGCGCTATGTGTCCTTAAGAAGCAGAATAAAGTGACTTTTTACTACAAGAACATATTCATGGTCACATTTATCTTTGTGTTCAAAAGATTATTATTGTAATATATTTAACAGGTATTTGTGAATCGATGTATTTTTAACTTTCTTGTAACATTATCCTATGATGACAAAAGTAACAGTGTAATTCGTTACCTTTAAATACTTTAATCAAGTCACTCAGACCAGCCTTGGCTAGTGTGTCACGAACAAAGTCATCCATGACCAAGAACAGAGACTGGAAGATAAATCATAAAATCATAATGATATATTTTATGTATGTATTGTTTCACATAGGCATTTAAATTTTTAAATTTGATCAAAAAGAAACTCACCTAGAATGAATGAAATTATGGCTTCAGGCTTCAGATGAAGAAGAGAAAAATTGTCTGAGAGCTGTTTCACAAAAGGAAAGTTGATTCTTCAAAGTTTGACATTCAAAATAGTGGACAGCAAGGAAATGAGAAACAGGAAGGTGTGGTTTGGTTGACAAGAAGAGGAGTGGCAATAGAAAACAGCTAGAGGCGTCCACACTGCAAAACAAACTGTTTGAGTTTAGCCAATTCAATTGGTTCAGAAATATTCTAGCAGATATTAAAACTGTATGAAAGATGGACACAAATTTAAATTATCTGGTCTAAAAATAAATAAATAAATAAATAAATCAATAAAAGATAAAAACAAAAACATTTCATGACAAGTTCTTAATTTTTACTAAGTCCATACATTTAGAGACACATTTATTCAAGATTAAGTCTATAACTATTTCTTATATTTTAAGATTTTTCAATAAAATTTTATTTGAGTTCTTTGCAACATTATCAAGTTTTCTAATATCTATCTTTTACTGCTATTTATGTTTTTAATAGTTTGGTAAGTCCTACTATTTTATTGATAATCCTATTTCAATTCCAAAATTCCTAGTTGTTATTTCATTATTCCTCACTCCTCCCTCATTTACTTAATTTGTCTGATGTTTTAATCTCTTTCATTTCTTCATCTGCTCATTACTTGGCACTATAAAAAGTGTTCTTGATCACTCTCTGGTTCGCCATCAGAACCACTCGTATATCTGTTTCCTGTTGGGACTTGTCAAGATGAGTTACAACCAGAATTAAAACTGACAAGTGAATTTCTCAAAGCAATTAGTACAAACTAGTTTAGTTGTAGTTCATTCCTCAAAAAAACAAGAATAAATGAATATTTTGAGAAAGTCCCAAGGCAGAGGGACTGTTGCGGTGTGTCTGTTGGATCGATGGCATGACTGGGCTCTCTGTCGAAGTTTGGAGTTCTGTTTGTCAGGGATGTAACAAGAACAAAGATTACACTGTACTCACAATGAAAGAAGAATTTGTTTTATTCATGGTAGAGATAATAAATAGCACTGCCCAAAAAGAAAGGAAAACTGAAAAAAAATTAATATAATTGTGGAAGCAGCTCAACTATATCTTAAAATTAAGAAAGGAGAGAAGTCAATCTTCTCAACTTCATTCATACATTCCAGAAATTTGGTTTAAGCCTCAACTAGATTTTATAATCCAAGTGTATACAGCGATAAGAAATCACAGTAAGAAGAGACAAGGTGGGGTAGTATCAACCTATGTGCAAAATATTTGGGAAAGAATTATGAAGAAATCTATAATATTGACAGATTTGTGTGTAATGACCCAAACAATGGGGTGATGACTTTTAGTTCTACAAGGAATTCCTCATTCATTAAATTTTACTTTTACGGACATGACATAAGTTATCAATCGATCAATCAATCAATCAATCAATCAATCAAATTTTATTTGTGTAGCACATTTCAGCAGCAAGGCATTTCAAGGTGCTTTACATAATTAAAGAAGAAATAAAAACAGTATGTGACATTAATAAATAGATGAAAAGTAAAGATAAAAACATTAAAAAAACATTAAAAAACATAAGAAACAAAAACAAAACACACTTTTATTAAGGAATTTAAGAGCCTGTCGTCGCCGTACTCCGCCAAGTTATGCCAGTTATCAAGCAGCAGAGACTTGATGCATGTCCAAACATATTTACAGCGTGTGGGAAGGAAGCAGAAACTGCTACTTGGAGGTGGAAATAATAGTAGTGAACATTTTGATTCTGTGTAGAGAAATTCACCAAAACAATTGAGAAAAACTAACATCCAGCCAAAGGGATGTTTTGCTCTGCAGAATGTCTTTCACATGCATTGTTGTAGAGTCAGACCACAACATCTCTGTAATTTTGTCTATAAATGTATTTGTGATTTTGTCAGATGTACCAGAGCTACTGACGTTTGGAAGAAGATGAAACTAGACTGAATAGTGGTAAAGTGACTGTAAATGAAATTAGTTTGTGGTCACAGATGGGCATTTCTAATGCTGTACAGCTAGAAAGCGTTAAAGCAGAGCAGCAGACAAGATCCAGAATGTGACCTTGGCTGTGTGTAGAAAAGTCAACATATTGCTGCATTCCAAAATCATCCAACAAATATTTAAAGTCGCGTGTCAGAGTCTTGCTGAATTTGTCCATGTGAATGTTGAAATCACCCACTACGATAATATTTGGGGATAAGGACCACAAAAATGTTAAAAGAGAGGAGAAATCGCTTAAGAATGCCTTGTTGGGTTCAGGAGGGCGATAGATGGTGGCTAAAATGGTGGGTACTGATAAGTGGATTTGCAGTACTATAGATTCAAAAGAGTTGTAAGTGGGGACACTGACAGGAGATACAAGCCACTTGTCTCTGAAGAGCACTGCGACACCGCCTCCTCGTCCAGAGCGTGGTTGGCTGATGTGAGAATACCCGTCTGGCGCTGCCCTGTTTAAATGTGTAAGATCGTTTTTCTTCTGCCAGGTCTCTGTCAAGCATAAGAAGTCAAACTGCTTTTCCCTCAAAAGTCCGGAAACGAAAGACTCTTTGTTGGTGAGTGAGCGGATGTTTAACAAGCCAACAGAGACAGTGACGGTGCTGAGAGACTTTATGCTGGTCCTGGCTGGGTCAGAGGTCACATTGTTGGCAGTGAGGAGACGTTCTCTCGGTCGACCAGGTGATGATGACGACAGGGATCTAATTGACCGGGAATCATCTCGGGTTGGACACTGTTCAGATCCAGAGTTAATGTAACAGTGTGAAAGACATACGATAAAGTTTTATCTTTTAGAATTTAACATTTTACAAGTTTATATATACCTTTTATTATCAAGTTGGTGTTAAAATGATGTGAAACAATTTGCATTTGCTCATTTTAGTTAAAAGTTTAAAAGTTAGCAACGGGTAAGGCCAGAATTATTCATACCCCTGGGAGGATTATACTTAAAAAATGTAATTGTCTTTAATTGAATTAAATTGATAGGGAAGGAAAGACTAATTTATTAATGCTGTAGTCCTTCCTTTGTGAAATGAATTGCTTCATCATTCATGATATTCATGAAAAGAAGTGAACAGAGTAATCGAATATTATTTCATATTTATCCAGTGTAAAAGTGTTTATACATACTTGTGCAGGACAATGCTGCGTCCGTGGATTTCTGCTTTGTTCTTCCTGTTGACAAGTAATACATCAGAAACCCAAAGTACATCCAATAAAACAAAAGCTACACAAAATGTGCGAATGTGAGATATTTAGATTTATTTTAAAGAAGCACTAAAAAGCATCGAGTCACAAAAGCAAGTAACACATTTTCATTAGGCTGAGAATGAGCAACAAAATGGCATTAACCTGGGAATTACCTTTAACAGCTGGAATCCCTTTTTGAATTGGGTCCTTTGGTCCACGTTTGGAATCAGTGTGTCAACATCTTGATCTTCAAGACAATAAAGACTTTCCATGTCCATTTCTTCATCTGTAATCAATAGATGTTCTTAGCCATGCTGATATCATTTAAAGCTGCTTCAGAATTAAGCTTCATGAACATGGTACAAAAATCATTGCAAGATACGTCTGCTGCAGTTACTGAGGTTTGTTATAATCTAAAATGGGCGTATAGTAAACACTTGTTAAAAAACTGCTACTTTTATTATTCAGGTAAATGGATCTAATTATAGCCATGCGATAAAAGTTAATAGGTCAATCTATGAAAACATAATTATAAAATCACACATATTCAACTTTTGCCTAATATTGAGGTTGGCAGTCAATCATATAGCAACATAAAGGCAACAACCATGCACACACACACACACTTCACCCTTAAAGGTTAATATCTGTGGTGCATTTCTATTCTAATGAAAAATCTAGAAAACTTCAGACATGCCACAAATGAAATATTAACATACTTGGAAAAACTAGGACTGAATTATGCCACTTGAGCTGACTAGTACATTATTACGAGAGAAAGCAAAACCTCCAGTGAGGAAATGCAAAGGTTTTGCAAGGTAACACAAAAGAAAAAAATCTTCGAGTCTCCTACGGAGCGCCATAAACAGTTAGGCACTAGAGGAACAGCTGTTAACTTGAGCAATTTAGTGACATCATATGAACATTTGCACAAATACATTATCCAAGTTGTTTTTTATCCAGCGACAGTACAGTGCAATACTTTACCTTTAAATGTTTCTATCAACTCACTCAGACCCCACTGGGTTAGTTTGTCACAAACAAAATCATCCATGACCAGGAACAGACACTGAAAGATAAATCATAATGATGGGATTTTATATATGTATTTTTCCAGCAAATAGGCATTTTGAGCTATGAAGTCAGATGAAAGGCTCACCTCGCAATGAAGAAAGTTATAGTTCAGTCAGCAGGAAGAGAAGAGCAAAAATGTTCAATTCAGAAGAGTCAGTGAGATTTCTGAGGTAAAGTTGATTCCTCAAAGGTTTACAAACAAAATGGCAGAAAGCAAGAGTTAGAAAAGAGGAACAAGTTGTGACATGTCAGGAATCAGAAAGACAAATGTGGAAATGTTGGCTGGTTGAAAAAAAAGAGGTGTGGCAACACTGAGACGCTTCCACACTGTTAAACAAACTGTTAGATTAACTAATTAAATTGGTTTAAGAATTTATGTGTGCAGATTAATCAGTATTTCTTTGAAAAATAGTATAAGTTTATCATTTAAATATGCATTAATTAAACTGACTATTAAATTACAACTAATTGATGAAATGTACTTATTTGAATAAATAAGTTAAATTCAAACTAATTATTTAGATTCTTTTTCTGATACATATTGCCCTTAATTGTCAAGATTGAAGTCAAGATGTAATACTGTTAACAGTTAGTGTGCACTACTTATCATATATGCTTGTCCTAAAGGTGTTCTAGTCCACTCCGGGTCCAGAAAGGTTATTTTGTTACTCCTTAAGACAGCTGTAAGTAACATTTATAAAAAAATATGTCTTTTAGATATTTGTGAAAATCACCACTATACCATGAAATTATACAGATTATCTGTGAAAAAACAAACTCCTCCATCTTATCCCGATGATGCTGTCATTCGCACAAATACACTGCTGTGTCAGAAACAACCAATCAGAGCCAGGAGGAGGATCTTGGCGCTGTTAATCATTCTTTGCATGCGTTGCTCATACCCTACACTTTTCTCTCTCTGATGATGACACTTTAACAGTTTTTCTGGAATGGTAAGTTATTTCTCACATTACCACATTCAGCAGTTCATACATGAGCATCATTGACATCGCTAAAACGTCCTGCTGCCTCTGGCTCATTGGTTGTTTTTGACTGGGAGCATTGCATTTCTTCAGATAGCTATAGCAGCACTGGGGAGGTGGAGCTTAATGTTTTTCACACGTTATCTGTTGCATATGCTTTCACAACATGGTGACAGTTTGAACAAATACTGATACAAAAACTGATTATTGTAAAAATTACTGCAGCTTTAAATTGAGCACTAAAACATAATTAAGCATATTTTTTTTACCCCTCAGCTTTGGAGCAGCCTTCCTGAAGATCTGTTGGAAGCTGAGAGTTTGGATGTTTTTATTGTAAAAGCAATGCTTTATGGTTTAACTTTTACATGTGATAGTTTTTTGCAATATTAGAAAGAATTCCATGATCCAATCATATTTGAATATTTTACATCCATTTAAACTTTTCAGAGTTTGGCAAGTTCTATAATCTTATTGACAATATTCTTATTTTGGATTTTATAATTATCTTGAATTGAGCATTTCTATACATTTTGTTTATTTAATGCATTTATTTTTGTAAATTTATCTTCAGAGTTTCCACAATTGTATTTCCTTAGTTCATTGTCTCCTTTCTCTTTCGTTTCATTCTCTACATGTGAAAAACTATGGCACGGTAAGAGGTCAGTTTGAAAGATCACATCAACATCAAACAGAGAAACCATTCCTCTCTGTTGGCACGCTACCAAAACTGTGAATCATTTCGCTTGGTTTGTTTCGTTTCACTATCAGCCTTGATAGTGAAACAAAAGTGATAGTGATACTTTGAAAAAACCCCACCCAAAAAATTCAAAGGAAGTGGTGAATATATAACGTATATTTCTTTTCAAAAACGAAACCATAAAACTTCAAAGGAAAACAGTGAGAAAAACCTGCCTAGGCGGTTTTTCATCTAACATGAATTAATAGCTGGCCCTGTTTTATAACATAACAACGGCACTGTTTCATAACATAAC